AATATGACTTTGTTACTAGCTGCTTTTTTGTTAGCATTTCAGACGTAAGAAAATACTGCCTTTAGCTACAGTAGTTCCTCAAGATATACTGGACAACAAGAACAGTCATGATGGAGCCTAGTCTCCAAACATGACCCAGTTGCCATCTTCATTTTTAAGGCAGAGATCTGGCTTGTGAAATCTAATCTCAGCACAATCAGTTTTCATGGGCCACCTGTCTTAATGATGACTTAGACTCTGGTCTTAAAAGCCTCTAGGGCTGCCACAATCCGTTACCTTTTATATAAATTAGGTAAAGCACTCAGTTACACAAAGAATGTGCATTTCTGCTGTATCTTTTGTCCCATACAGACACTGTACATCTTGGCATACTGAAAGTGGCTCCACATTAGAGAAGCATACCAAGAGTGAAATGCAGACACAAAATTACATAGCTACAGTAGTTTAAAAGCATAACTTTAGTTTGGAGCAAGAAATTTATGAACATGGAAAAAATCTTTCCAAGATGCTATTTTAAGACATCTCTAACTTGCTTTTTAAAAATTAACTTGCCATCATATATACATTGTTGGTGTGCAACTGACAGGGACTTGCTACCTCAAGCCCAACTTCTCTTCCTACTTTATTCTGCAAGGCAGTCAAAATGCTGACACTCATTCCCACTAAAAAGGAATGGCGCAAAATCGTGAGTTTTATTGACATGTTGGGTGGCAGAAGTTGGGTGGAAGTAATGCTTTCTTTCAAACAATTCTGAGAAAGATACAAAAAGCTGCTACACTTCAACCTCAATACTCTGGGTATCCCTAATCTGGGGACACCTGTGATATGGAGATGAAACAGATCTCCACCCTGCCACTCCCCTGCTCCGTAGATGAGGGAATGGCAGTGCAGTGACACACTTCCCTCCGAAGCTTTTCCACAACACTCAGAGAGAAAGAGAGTGTGTAACACATGGGAGCATTTGGGGTGTGGAGCCACCTGTCCCCCTGGGAGAAGGGCACCAGGTAAACACTTTATGCCCACTTCCCTCACACCCAGACCCGACAGCACCCTCCATGACCTGGAAAAACCTTTAATCTGCACATCCTGTTTCCCGCCGTTGCTGGATTAAAGAAGTTCAAGTGTACTGAAATATACTGATCTGTGGAACCGTGTCCTCATCCCACCCTGCCACCAAGTGTTCTCCAATGTGAAAATCCCGCTAAATAAGTTGCACTAAATAGAAAACAACCTCAATGGCTACAAGGCAATGGATTCTCGCCTCCTCCACCCCAGCCTTCAGATAGTTTCATCTGCTTGCTGATCCCATGCAATCCAAAAAGGCATAGTGCCAGCAAACACCAAAGAGGCACATCCAGGAGCAACTGCTAGGCATTACAGGGAGGGGACGCTGCTTTGCCTCTCCTGCCCCCAAATCAGGGAGGCTGTCATGGCAGCAAAAAAACAAGCTGGTGGCCACATTTTAGAAACCCTGCCTTCTGTACTACATTGGCTCTGAACAAGGAAGACAAAGTGATCCCCCAGCAAATAAGTTCTAAAAAGCCTAACAAATTCTTACCTGAACATTCTTCAATAATTTCAGCTATTGTGCTAGCCTCATCACCAGCCATTATCAGAATATTTTTCAGCCCATCCAAGACTACCTGGACCACCTGAGAGTCTTTCACTGACAGTAAGCTACAGAATGGTGGGATTACATTCTGTTGAACAAGATATTCAACCTAGATACGGAGAAAATGATTTCAGAATTATGTGATTAATCTCACAATCCAATATATGAGTTTTTCTGTTGTGTCTACATCCATCCATCTGTGAGTCGGTTTGTTTAAAACCACCTCCTAAATGATAAGAGGACCACCAAATTTAGTATGCAGCATCCTCTTATAACTTAAAACAAGGTCAGGGCTTGGTTGTGCCAGGACAATGGGATGTGCATGAAATGTGATTGTTTCCTATCAAATGGAAAGGAAGAGCTGATATAGCATGGACAGTTATACTTCTGAATGACCACGGGGGGGCAGCCATCCCCTTCTTATCCTCCAACCCCAGCCCTGGGCCCCTCCTCAACCCCCCAACCCTCTTGCACCCCCTCACGCCTCCAGCCTCCTGCCCTTAGTGTGCTATCCCTTCTGCCCTGACTCTGTACTTCCCAGCTCTCTGCCCTGAAGAACAGGAACAATGCCGTGTAAGTTATCTAGTGCACTATATTTTAACAACGAATGAAAGTCAGTCACACACACCTGGTCTTTTCTTCCACTTATCGTCAGGTTGCTAATTGCCCAAGCAGCTTCCTTTTGTGTTCCAAAGTCCCCCTAAAGGGAAAAATTGATAGTTCATTAAAATTAGCAAACACACATCTGTAAAACTTATTAAAACTCAGATATTCCTTGTGTCAGATTTATAAAAAGATGACAAACTTGCGTAAGTGATAGCTTGACTGACCTTAGCCAGCTGGTGTATGATCATAGGGATTAGTCCAGCATCTATTACAGCTTGAACTTGTTGCTGGTTTCCTGCTGTAATATTGGAAAGGAACCAAACTGCTTCCTATAATCAGACAAAATGAGAAACCACCTTTCTTCAGAAATAATTTAACTCTTTGTCCATGGCTAAAAAGTATTACATATGAACTGCAGTGACACAAAATGCATTAAATAAGTCGAGCAAGTCTTTATCAGCCTATTCTATCATGCGTTCCTTGTCCTATAAACGCTTATTCCCCCCCTCCAAAAATCAGAAGCATTCAGAGAGCTTTAGCATAAAACTGGCTTCTTTGACTATGGTTTCAATTTGGCAAGTTATACAGGCCTTTCAAATGATACACGGGCCTGGTCTACACTACATGGGAAGGCCGAAGTAAGATACGCAACTCCAGCTATGTAAATTATGTAGCTGAAGTTGAAGTATCTTATATCGTGTTTCCATGCCGTCCAAACAGTGGGAGACCAATGGGAGCTTCTCTTACTCCTCATGAGGGTGCTGACAGAGGTAACCTTTGAGTTTGATCTAGCAGGTTTATACTACACCCACTAAATCAAACCATGCAAGATTGACTGTGGCAATCTTCCGTGTAGCATAGAACTGCCCTTAGGGACCAAAAAGCCAGACTTACAACCAGGTCTTCTGTCTGTCTTATCCCAGGTGTAAAACGGGTCATCACTCTGTGGCATGAGCCAATTTTCACTGGCACACGAGCCTACCCACCAGATCTACGCTGACTGTACGTTCTGGAAAGCCTGGCCAGACATTTCACTGCTTGATGGGAAGATGCGACTGAGAAATGGCTTCATGCCATTACTCCTCATGCGGTGCAGGAGTCTGCTCCTCCTCCCTCCTACCACCCCTGCTGGCTTCTCGTAGCACACAGTTTCTGGCCACTCTGCCACCCACTGCCCCATACCATGCAACGCCCTCTGTCCCCCTGCGGGACTGACATGGTAGGAGACCGGACTGGCTTACAGGGGAAATCCTTGGTGAACTTAAGCACAAAAAGGAAGCTTACAAAGAGTGGAAACTTGGACAAATGACCAGGGAGGAGTTTAAAGGTATAGCTCGAGAATGCCGGGGGGTTATCAGGAAGGCGAAAGTGCAAATGGAATTGCGACTGGCTAAGGATTTCCAAATGGCTAAATGTGCACTACATTTGGCTAAGGATGTGAAGGATAACAAGAAAGGTTTCTACAGACATGTTAACAAGAAGAAGGTGATCAGGGAGGGTGTGCGGCCCCTAATGGATGAAGGAGGTAACCTAGTGACAGATGATTTGGGGAAAGCTGAGGTACTCAATGCTTTCTTTGCCTCTGTATTCACGGACAAGGTCGGCTCCTGGACTTCTGCGCCAAGTGACGCAAGATGGGATGAAGATGGACAGCCCGTGGTGGGTAAAGAACAGGTAAGGAACTATTTAGAAAAGCTAAACGTACATAAATCCATGGGTCCAGACTTAGTGCATCCGAGGGTACTGAGGGAGTTGGCAA